AAAACAAATTCCAGGAAAAACGGCTGTCAGTTCCGTCGTTTTCTACTTCAGAAGTAATAAGAAGAGATCGTTTTGAAAGATCGCGACCCTCATCATGACTGAATCTGGCCTGCAAGAACCCTACCATACAGACTGCACTTACCGTTGAGGTTCTGACAGGTTGGACGCGCCGGGCGACACTCATGCAAAGAAATTCTGATTTTCTTCCCTTACATTTTTTTCTTTTTATTACAAAAAAAAATCCAGGAAAAACGGCGGGCTGGGGGACAGTCCAACAACAAAATTAAAGAACCGACTTCCCCCCCCCAGACTTCGAATCAGGTTCAGACTGTTCAAAAAAAAAAAAGAAGTACGGGCCTTCGCGCGGCCTCCAAAAAAAATTTCGCGCCCGTTTTCGTAATTTTCCTAGGACCTCCCCGAACCCCGAAAACCGAACCAACAAAAAAAAAAAAATTTGGTACCCTGCAATTTCGACCATGCGCCGCGCGTCGTGCGGGTGCCACTTGCGCGCTGCGGCCTGCGCCACACGTGCGCAAGTGCCGCGCACAACGTGCGCCGCAAGTATGGTCACAAGTCAACAGTTCCCCTCAAGGAGATCCATGATCCCTCCGGATATGGATGGCAGATATGACATTGACGGCATTGTAGATGAAGATGTTTTTAGGACAGGAGGTAGAGGTCGTCCACAGAAACAGTATAAGGTCCGGTTCGCTTATCAGGAACCAGATGACGACTGCTGGTTTACTAGGACAGAACTTCTAGAAACAGATTCCGATATAGTCAGAGCTTACGAGTGTGATAAGAAGGGTAAAGGTCCTGCCTTGGACTGAAATATTCTCGGAGGACCTCAAATTTAGGACGGCGGGAGTGAAACGGTTTTCACCTTTTTGCAGTAGCAGACGCAGACCCCAGGGCTCGATCCCTAGTCCCCACCTTACCTGTGTACAGTACCTGTGTCGACCCGTAGAGTTGAACCCACGACCTGTGTACTTGTAACAGTTGATAGGCTGTCGTAGGTTGCAGGGGTTCGATCTGTAGGTCTGTCGAATAGAAGTCTTAGTGAAGTCTAGAAGTCTTAGCTGTAGCCTTCTAGAAGGTCGGCAAGTGGGCAAGTGGGCAAGTGGTGAGTCAAGTGGTGGACTAAACCGCAGTGCGATTGCAGTACGACCCCAGTAGGATAGCAGTGAGTCCCCGTACAGTCAGCGGTACGGTCCGGTCAGTCCCAGTCCGGTCCAGCAAGTACCACGAGGGACTGTGAGCACCATGGGCCGATGGCAAAGGGCAGACCAACGAGTTTCAGAAGTATAAATCAAGAGGCAGCGCCCAGCCCTTCATTCATTCCTGCGTGAGCCATGCGGAAGCGCTGCCACAGCAACTTGTGCAAGGAGATCTGCAGTGAGCCCGGAGCTGAAGTGGGCGAGAGAGGAGGAGCGTAGCATAGCGATAGAGTAGTTGCGGCCATAGCCGCCATAGCTAGAGTTAGTGTGTAGCGTGTGTGTGTGTGTGAGTGCAGAGTATCGCGTGTGGGATATCCAGGGTGATCCGGTGTATGCGAACAGTGAGTTGTTTGGGCGCTGAGTCGCCATAGTCATTGAAAGTGAATTCGTATCTGGGTTTCCATATCTGTGAGACTTGAGTGACCGCATGTCGCCAGTTTGCTGCGCTACTGTTTGCATGTATGTAAAGAGTGAGAGGAAGCGAGTCTGATTGCATAAAACTGTTTCGGTGTTCAAGTGTATCAACTCAAATGTTTTTGTTGTCTGTAATAGGACCAAAGGATCTGCTCATTTGGGTGGAATAGGGGCAGTTGTGGTGAAAACCCAAAACACACACACAGCCTGACCTCGCGCCAGGTCAACCACAGCAGCTCCATGAGGAGCAGAGTGCAGAGAAGTTGTTGCCCCGAAGGCAAACAGCGGCAGATCAAATCCTAGAGCCCTTGGACATACCTACTCTGAATCCCCCCACATCATCACTTCCTGGCGGAGCAGATAGCATATCACCAGCACACACACCAGCGCTTGAAGCTGTGTGCTCACTTCAACTATGTGATGACTCAGTGGATATCGGTTTAGTGTATGATCAGCAGTCCTCTTTACAGAAGCACTTTGGTCACAAGGTTTCTGTCTCTGCTGTCCTAATGAGTATCCGTGCTGCACTCATCCCTGTCATATGATGGCATGTCCTCTATGTGGAGGAGGAATGGACACACAATGTCTACATAACTCTAGCAGTTGTGCCTCTATGTTCCTCGTTTGCAAGATCTGCTTGCAGCACGCTACTGTCCGTGTCCAATGAGGTGCTATCATGCTCCTCACCCAAACCTTTCATGTGCTGTTTGTCAGTGTGGCTCCCTTTCTCAGTCTGTTTTGTGCAAGTAAATATTGACCTCCCTTCGCCCCTTCTGTTCCTAGCCTTTCCCTGCATCGTTCTTTCTCTTCCCCGTTCAGATCTGCTATATACAAATGGATGAGCATTACTAAGGAGAGCAGGCAGGGTGTGAGGGCACTCGGCCCTTAACTCTACCAGCGTCGCCAATCTTGCAGTGAACGTTTTTGCAGCAAACAAACATTCTGGTACACAGCAATACACATCAAAATCATTTTGAAGTACTGGAAACAATGTTTCAATTACAGTTTCTTTGCATTCTGGTAGAGAACGGGTTGTTGTTGGGACTACTTACATGCCTGCACATGCACACGCACACACACACGCAGGCACGCACACACACACACACACACACACACACACACACACAC